GGACATAATCTTATTTATTTGTTTGTTTATTTAGTTATTTATTTATTTTTGGAAGGCCACATACCCATGCTAACTTTATCATCTAGCTCTCTCATTCTGTTGCTTGCTTACGGTAGTCAAATCCTGACTTTAGGAAGGCTTCTGATACTGTCTCCTTCAATATTTTCATTCATTAAGAAACATGAATACAGACTAGATGAAAGCACTGTAAAGTGGATACATAACTGGTTGTATCATCATACTCAATTGTCAGTGGCTCATTGTCCAGGTGCAAGGAGTTTTCTCAGGGGTCCTTCCTTGGTCTAATCTTGCTCAAAACCTTCATTAATGATTGGGCTAGGAACAATGGCCATAACCTGAAGGAGAGGAAGTTTAAGTTGGAGATAACTAGGAAATTTCTGACTATCAAGGTGGTCAAGCATTGGAATAGGCTACCTAGAGAAGTTGTGGAGTCTCCATCCCTGGAAATTTTCAAGGGCAATCTGGACAGGCACTTGGCTGGATTGGTTTAGTCAGGGATGTTCCTGCCTTGATCCCATCCAGGCAGCACAACTACTCGAACTTGTGAAGTCCCTTCCTTCCCTACTTCCCTGTGATATTATAGTGATACAAGGAACAAATATTTCATACATTTCATAGACATTAGGGCTGAAAGGGACCTCGTAAGATCATCGGGTCCGGCCCCCTGCTGAAGGGGCAGGAAATTAGCTAGGGTCAAAGGATCCCAGCAAAATAAGCATCCAACTGTTTTTTTTAAAAGTGTCCAGAGTAGGTGCTTGCACCACCACTGAGAGGAGTCTATTCCAAGCCTTCAGGGCTCGGACAGTAAGGAAGTTTTTCCTTATGTCCAGCCTAAAATGGTCTGCAGGAGTTTGTGACCATTGGACCTTGCCATTCCTTGGGATCCTCTGGTGAACAAGCATTCTCCTAGATCCTGATGCACATCCCTTATGTATTTATAGACTGCCACCAAGTCACCCCTGAGCCTGAGCTTCTCCAGGCTGAAGAGTCCCATGTCCCAGCTTCTCTTAATATGGCCTGCTCTCTTGCCCTCTGATCATGTGTGTGGCTCTCCTCTGGGCTCTTTCAAGCTTCTCCGTGCCCTTTCTGAATTGTGGAGCCCAGAATTGTTTGCAGTACTCCAGTTGCAGTCTCACCAAGGCCAAGCACATTAGGAAGATGACATATTGGGCCTTGCTTGAGAAGCATTGGTAGATGCAAGCCAGAGTTTTGTTCACTTTGCCAGCTACAGTATTGCATTGATAGCTAATATTCATCTTGTGGTCAGTCATGACCGCCAAATCTCTTTCAGCTGTAGTGCTAGTGACTGTCAAGCCTATAAGTGTGATGTGGGTTTTTTCCCCCTGAGGTAGAACACCTTGCATTTCTCTGTATTGAATGCCATCAGGTTTACATCCACCAACCTTGCAAGTCTATCAAGGTCAGCCTGTATCACCAGCCTATCCTCAAGTGTGGACACTCTTCCCCAAAGTTTGGTGTGATCAGCAAACTTAGCTAGTCTGCTTCTGACACCAGAGTCCAGATTGTTTATAAAGATGTTAAAGAGTACAGGTCCAAGAACAGAGCTTTGGGGGACACCATTGGTCACTGGGTGCCATACTGATTCAGTTCCATCGACTACCACTTTCTGTGTCCAACCTTGAACCAGTTCTCCAGCCATTGGACAGTAGGATAGTCGAGGCCACAATTGCCTGATTTTTCCATGAGGACATTATGGGACACCAGGTCAATGGCTTTTAAAAAAGTTCAAATATATAATATCAACCTCTTCCCTTTTGTCCAGGTGATGTGTCACCTGGTCATAGAAGGAAATGAGATTGATCAGGCAAAACCTACCCTCAACAAACCTGTTCTGGCTATCCCTCAGCATGTTGCCTTCTGTTAACCTGTCGAGAGTGGTTTCTTTGATAATTTTTTTCCAAGATCTTTCCAGGGATTGAGGTCAAACTGATTGGCCTGTAGTTTCCCAGATCTTCTTTCCTCCCTTTCTTGAAGATAGGCACCACATTGGCTCTCTTCCAATCTTCAGGTACTTCTCCTGAGTGTCATGAGTTCTCAAATATTCTTGCCAGTGGCCGCACTATGATGTCTGCCAGTTCCTTTAGCACTCTTGGGTGTAATGTACCTGGACCAGCTGCTCTGAGGGTGTCCAGTTTCTCAAGATCTATGCTAATTATGGGTGTGTTTTCATCCTCAATCTGGCCATACCACATCATGTTAGGGAGGGTGGTCCCTTTGGGATGGTGAAAAACTGACACAAAGCAATCATTAAGCAGATTAGCTTTTTCCTGGGTGTCAGTTGTCAGCTGCCCCATTTGGTTTAGCAGGGGTCCAAAGGTTAAAATCTGCTCTCTACAATCTTAAAGGGAGAGTCATTGCATTTTTTTCAGTAGGAAGAAAGGGGTGGCATCATTTAATGGATTCCCCATCCCATGGATTTGGGGTGATAACCTGCATCCCTCCAGACAGAGCCTTCTTTCAACACAACTAAGTATAATTTATTGACCTACCCTTCATCTTAAAGAAAAACAAGATTTTTGTGGTCGTCTGTCACCACAGTATTAGTTCCTTTTTCAGCACCAGGGCAAGATTTTTTTCCTCACAGTTAAGGCAGAGGGTTGGTGCTCTCATCAGAGAAGGTCCTGGACCCCTTGGAGTAGATGCAAAAGTAACATTCAAATGTTTCAAATTTGCATTTGTGTAGTGTAAATACTCATGCCATAGAAATCTATTCCCCAATTGAACCAGAAATATATGTTGATTTAGAGAAAAACATTTTCTTAAAACACCAAAGAATTGTGGTTGAGCTTCTAGATGGGAAACAATAAGGAAACACTTTTCTTAGAGTCTTCATTTTCATACAAAGGGAGAGCCTTAGTATCCCAACAACAAACTGAGTCTGCAGAGATGTAGGAATGATAGCAGTCCTTCAAAAGATAGAAATGATTTAGAAAATAACAGTGATCTGCACTGTATGTTAAATGCCATAGAGTTCCTGGATAATTTAATAACTGTGTGGTCTAAAGTAAAACACATACCTTGCATCTTGTCTATCTTTCTGATTGACATGTTAAAAAATATATGTTTTCATAAGAGTTTTCTTATAATTTTTAAACCTTCAATGAAGATATGATACTGAAATGTTTACTTTCATAATAGACCCAGATGGTGGATATGTAATTTCACTTTGTCTTGAAATAATTATTTTTCTACCACCAAAATTTGGACATTTTCTTTCCATTTTTATCCATTTTTTCAATGCAATTTTTTGTTTTTTTAATAAAGAAACTGAAATACAAAAATGTTAAGCTTATACATATATACATTTACATCTGTATCATATATCAATTTATTTATTTATTTATTTATGTGTTTAATAAAAGCCTATTTTTTATTTTGCCAAATCATACCTTTTCACAAAGTACAAGCCATTTCCTCTTGGAAAAAGGGGGTGGGGGGCAATGGACAATTCAAAGCAGTTTTGAATATAACAAACATCACAACTCTAAAACTGTTTCACACAGATGGATCACTGAACTTGGGCAGATCCTACCCAAATGAAGCACCACACTGGGTTAAGGCCTAATTGTGAAACAATCATGACTTCACTACACAATGAATTTGGAAAAAAAGAAGGGTGGTGGAGGGGGAGGGGGACATATACTGATCTCTGGAAGCATGGGAGCCCCCACACCCCAAAATGAATTCTGGTGCAGTTATAATTTTTATATTTTTCTATTATCAATGTGCAAATCTTACATGTAAACCAGTGCATAGTCCCATGGAAGTCAATAGAATTCTATCTTAAAGACTTATTTGGCGTGCATTACCAGAGTGTCTGTGTACTGTACAAACTTCAGTGTGTTTATTATCGCAATGTCTTTGTGACATAAAAAAATCCCATTATCAACATTGTATTGATGGGACATAGGTTGAGGGAAAGATTTTAAAAGCACTTTTAAAAATTCCAAGTGGCCCCTAAATGCACCTCTAGATGTCTAAATATCTTTAGAGATCTGGCCCTAACTATTTGGGAAAAGGTGACAAAGAAAGCATATGGCAAAGCAGAAATCTGAATCCCAGATGCTCCTGCATATGACTACTTCTTTAACTACTTGACCATTCTGCCTCTATCCAATTATTATTTCTATTCTTCACAAGAAAAAAAAAATACACACACACACACACACATACATATGTATACATACATACATACAAATAATGCTTCCATGTATATTTAATCTTAATTTAAAATTAATGTTTAAGATATGTAGGCATGCATCTCCCCTTTGTTATCTATTTTATTAACATTGGTAATGACATATGTATGTATATATAAGTAAAGAGATATAGATATATATATGTGTGTGTGTGTGTGTGTCTCCACACACACACACACACACACACACACACGCATCTGTTTGCTTAATTGGGTTCTGAAAATGAAGATAAGCAGACATGATTCTCATTTAATTTAAAGGTGTTGACAGATGAACAAATTATAGTTTCTTAAAAGCAGGGGATGTATTATGTATCAGCTGCTCTGCAGTAACTGCTTTGTGTGTTTTCATATCCCATGGTAAGTAGAAACTAAACTACAGTCATTTAGTAGTTGTTTCCTTAAGATGTAAGCTAATTTAGCTTCCATACAGCATGGGTTAAGTGGACTCTTAAAAAAGAGTTACACAGATCAACTCACATATAGGTTGCCACACCAATTCAATCTGTTCACAAACTAAAGCATTTTTATGCCATAGTAATGGAAAATAATGTTTCCATGTGTATTTAATCTTAATTTTGAATTAATGTTTAAGATATGTAGGCATGCATCTCTTCTTTGTTATCTATTTTATTAACATTGGTAATTACATTTTTTATTGAAAATGGCTGTTCAAGTTCAATCAGATGAAAAGTTACATTTTGTTTCAAAATAGTAATAGTTACATAATTAAAAAGTATTGAATTTTGCCATTTTTCAGATGAATTCAAGTTATTTATGAAAAGACTGCCCATGAACTATTTCCTCAACACCTCCTCCATAATGCATTTGTGGACAATGGATTCTAATTTTCAGCGTCGCTACGAGCAACTGGAAAACAGCATGAAACAACTGTTCCTAAAGGCACAGAAAATTGTTCATAAACTCTTTAGCCTTAGTAAGAGGTGTCATAGACAACCACTCATCCGCTTGCCAAGACAGAGGTAAGAAATGTTATGAAAATCAGAGAAACTCAGGACTTTTCTTGATTCCGAAACCTGCTTAAAACTACAGGTATGGTAATAAGTATACTATAAAACCTTTATAACCATAATAGCAAACAGTAGTACTGAGTCTTCCAAGCTTCAGTACTATTCTGTTGAAACCTTCCCAAATATAATGTCACAATGGAAAAGTAAACATAAGCTACAACTACATTCATCATTGTATATCATGGGAATCAAATGAAAGAAAGATGAATAGCCAGGTCCAAAGTCATCCTGCTTTAATCCATTAACTTCTGAAGATTTCTGTCATTAAAGGATTTAGCCATAGCCACAACACAAAACAACATTCTAAATTAGATAAGGAAAAGTAAGGACAACTATTTTAAGGACAAATCTGCCCTGTATACTTTACTGCATATATTATAAGCTACAGATCTCTCCTTTCATTTGTAAAATATGAATTAAATTTGAAAGAATAACTGGGTAATGGGGATAGTGGTGAATTAACCTTGTCTAAAAACACTGTGAGAACATAAGTCTGAAAGGGCAAATCAGGCCCAAAGTTTATTGTTTATTGCAAACTCAGAGCTCTGAGAGTAAGAATTTATTTAGAGGTTCAGTGTATGGGGCACACTGAGTTTATTATGATTGCAGAGTCCAGCAACAATCATCATCAGTTTAATCCACTGACCTCCCAGATTAAGGGAAGTGTCTCCATAGACTGTAATGTTAGACTATTTCTAGCAGTGGGATCAACAGTTTATTGACCACAGTTAGGGCCTTGTTATATGTTGTACTTTTAGCCACACAAATGTTGATCAGCTTAGTGTTAGCTTGGAGTCGGAGCAGTCACGCCTTCAGTCTAAAAACCTTTCCTGACTGTTTTCCACCTGCACAACTGTGACTTGCCCTAGAGGCCTGATGAGCAAGGAGGTCCCTTCCAGCCCTAATTTTCTATTATTCTCTATGCTTTGCCCATCCCTCACCTGTCTCAGCAGCAAGGTTCTAGACTGCAGGGAGGGGAGGGAAGGCACAAGGTCCTTCAAAAGCAAGACTGAGAGACTTGGTGGGGAGCTGTTTGGGGAGGTCACTGCCCACTCAGCTCATTGGCTCCAGGTGCCCACATGCTCCTGGCTCACTGTCACATATGTCTGAGCATATATCCTGGCCCCACATATCGCTCAGGTTGCTCCCAGCACCTGAGCAACAAGCCTGAAGGGGAATCATCTGTCTCCCTGCCTCTTCACCCTCCCCCACTCAGCCCTGCCTCACATACACGCCCCCACCTTGGTGCCCCTGAGATTGGCAGGAGCAGCCCAGTAGACATGAGGTAAGTGGAAAGACACCTCTGACCCCAGGGCCGGGGGAGGCCCAGGCAGTGGCCCCAGGAAGCCAGTGGTGGTGGCAGAAGTGGCAGTGGTATGCATAGGGCTGTGGGCTGAGGCTACAGTGGCAGCAGCATCTGGCGCAGCCAGCTCCCCACCAAGATGGATTCACTCTGCAGCTGGGAGTAGAGTCTGCCTACAGCCAGTGCCCATGTCCACATGGGCAGCAACAAAGCCCTGCACCTTCAGCCTGAATCCACCTGCAATGCCTGACAATGGGAAGCAATGGCTTCCCTGGCAGCAGGTTGACTTCCACCCTGCAGCAGCCACCACAATCTCTCACCACACTGTGTGTGGTTTGGGTGCATGGAGCAGGGTGTTTCTGGAGCTGCTGGGCTAGAGCTCAAGGTTTGCTGGAGCCTGCCTGATTCTGGGGGCTCTCTGGGACTGGCCACACTCTTCTCCTCCCTCTATGGTTTAGTGCAGGGGGCGGGGAGGAGCACAGGTTTCAGCAGTGGTGGGCAAAGTTGCCCCAGGCTACCATTCCTGGGCCAGGGGGACTGGAACCTCAGGAAACTAGAAAAGCTGAGGCTTCAATCCCTGGGCCACTCTAGTAAGCAGACAGGGGTATGAGAGCCCACAGAACAGGAGGGTGAGGAAGTGGCCACTGCATCCTGGGATACTGGAGGACTTCAACATAAGTGGCACATCTGTTGGGGAGTGACTACACCTTAATGGAACAGGAGCTGGGTTTTACTGATTAGAGATAATCCTGCCTTCGAGTGGCATAATTTTGTACTTTAAGCCACTTATTGTTAATGTGTAGACAATCAAGGGATTAAGAGTACCAGGAGCCACCCAGAATTAACGTGTAGCAAGGCCCTTAGAGATTCTTCAATACTGCTTCATAATCATAAAATGTTAACTATGCAGTTGAAGCCATGCCTCTATAAATTATGTCTGTCTTCTTGGCAAGTACTGCCCAACTTTTATCTCATATACATCCGTTGTGCTTCTTAGGCCCCTACCAGATATGAATGTTAAGTTGTGATGTGATCTGATACACAGTCCACACAATTACACTTCCTGCCATGCAGTACATGCATGGAAGGTGTTGTAATTGTGGGACTGGGCATCAGATCCCACCTGGCCTTATTAATGTTTCAGGGGGAGTTTAGGATCATGATCCTGGACTCCCCCTGCACTGGCAAATAGCAAGATCCAATAGCTGGGAGATTCATCAGCTGGCTGGGCTCCTAGAAACAGGGACACACCCTGCACTCCCTGCTGGGAGCCCCATCAGGTGATTGGAGCTCCCAGCCATGGGAGCACATGGTACAACCCTGTGGTTTGAAGCCTGGATCAGCGGCAGGCTCAGGTGCCCCCATTGCTGCCAGCACCATCAGATGCAAGATTCCAGGCTTGGAAGCACATTGTATGCCCCTGTGACTGAAGTCTCCATCAGCTGATGGAGTTCTCAGCCATGGGTGCACATGGTCCACCCCTACAGCAGGGAGCCCCATCAGCTGATGCAGCTCCCAGCCACAGGGGCACACCTGGTCACATTATCAATTAACAGCTACAAAGTTATTACACATTTTTTGAGGCATAATTTTGTGGCTTATTCCTTGTTTTCACATGCTATTGATTGAAAACGTTGCTGGGTTACAACTTACAACATGGTTAACTGATTGATCATGTCTTAAATGTAATGTGTGGCAGGGACTTTAGTGATTTGGCTATAAAGAGTGTTATTTTATTTCTTTTTATATTAATTTTCAGAAGGAAAGATTATATAATAATATTTTGTAACTACAGTGTTATGACCAAATTCAGTGTTCTGTCAAGAAACCACTTTTCACCAATGACACCCAGAACTCTTTAAAACAAAAGAAAACAAAACAAAACAAAACATATTCCACAACTAAAATAATTTCTCCAGGAGTTACTGCCTGATGTTATTCCAAACAAAGTTCTCAATAGCACCATTTTGCAACATCCTATAAAAATAAGATAGTAGCAATAGAGTGAGAACAGCCCACTGTTTGCCATTGCCTTGTGAAGGAGTGATTTTATATCAACATTAATTGTGAAATACATAATATTGATACTAAAATTCTACTAAGGTAAAATCAAATTAGTTGAATTTCCCTATTGTAACATAAGAACATAACGTTTCAAGTCAGCTGGACTGAAGAACTCAGAGACTTTGGGATGGAAGAGACCTAGAATTTCTTCAGGTCAAAGGTGCTAAAATGATCTAGAATCCATATTCCAAGCAGTGGGGAAAGCTTATATGAAAAGGGCTGTGAACTAACTGGGAAAACAACCACTTCAAGGAGGATGTTAAGGAATGAAATAGAAAAAAGTGAGGAATGGGAAAAAAAATGATTCATTAGAAAACACAATGATGTCTTGGAGGCCAAGAAGTAGAAAAACAGTAAGAATTGCTGTAAATCAAGTTTGGAAATGCAAATGACTAAAACTGAGGTAATAATCCTCACTGAGACTTCCAGGAGAACAAGTATGTGGAATTGCAGGTTTGGTAGCATACATTTTTAATAAATCTACCAAGCCAGGTGTAAGTACTCTGTGATTAGAAGACAGCAAATATAGGGCCTATATTATTTTGACTTTGATAGCACACAAGGCTTTACAAAAGATCTTGAAAGAAAGGATTAAAGACCTGGATATAAATGAGAAATGGAATTAAACGCAACTTGGATTCACATATGATACTAACATGATATCTGCCTTGGGTAAGATAACTTATTGCCTACAGCAAGCAAATGCAGTAGATTTCTGGAATTCAGTAAAATATTGTAGGTGCCTCATGGAGAACTATCAGTTCAATTGAAGTATGTGGGAATTGTATAATAGTTCTTAGAATTATTAGCGGAATTAAGGTGTAATAAACTGACAACAAGGAAGACAGAAGTGAGTTGTACTGGAAGGGGAAATATATATCCAGGCTTAGTAGCAGAATTCCTTAAGGATCAACCATGGGATTTATCTTATTTAATATTCTCATTAATACAATTGGCAAAAAAAGTTGGAATATGCTGATAATGTTTGCTATTGACCTAAAACTAGGAGACGCTGTCAATATAGAGGAGAATCTGGATATAATACAGAATGGCCATAATGACTTAAATAAAAATGGAATGAAATTTAGTAGAGCTCAATAGACTGTCATGCAAAATTGGACTAAAATGTTAATCTTCTGTATGCTGAGAGCTCATCAGCTGTAAATGAGTGAAGAAGAGAAAAGGTCCAGGTGTATTAACTGACCACAGAATTACTATGAGCTATCAATGTGATGCAACTGTAAAGAAGAAAAATGTGATCCAAAAATAAATCAGGGAAGGTATTTACTGTAAAGATAGGAAAGTAATAGTGCCATTGTTCAGAGCAGTGGTAAGACCTCATCTGGAACATGGTGGGCAGTTCTGGTCATTCATGTTCAAAGTAGATAAACAGAAACTGGAACATCTTCAGAGAAGGATAATGAAAGCAGTGAACAGGAAGGTAGAAGAGATTGTTTGGTTTAGCCTAGTAAAATAAAAGCATGAGTAGGGATATGCTTGCCCCCTATAAATATATTATAACTGCTAGGAATGCCAGAGAGGGGGAAAGAACCATGCTGGCACAAGAACAAATGGGTACAGAACT